ACATATAAAGGTAGACCTATTAAAATTATACCTGCCTTCTCTATGTATATGCTAAAAGCCAGAAGAGCCAAGACAGATGTCCTGCAAACTCAAAGAGATTAGAAACGCCAGCCCAGATTGCCACGCCCTGCAAAATCTTCAATCACCATAAAAAGAGAATACAAGATCATCCATGATAAAGTCATTTTTAAACAATAACTCACTAAGATTCCAGCCCTACAGAAGACACTAGAAGAAAATATTCAAACCAAGGAAGTTAACTATACCCATGAAAACATAGAAAAAATCTCACATCAGCAAAAGCAAAGGAATAGAAGCACTCACACACACACACACACACAATCATCATCATCATTATCATTAACAACATCATCATCATCACAATTCCATCAATGACAATAAAATTACAGGAAGTAACAGTCATTGTTCATCGATATCTCTCAATAACAATGAACTCATCCCAAATATAAAAGACAGATTAACAGAATGGATAAAGGGACATTGGCACATACAAACATAAGGATTATCTTAGCACACAAAGACTCCATATTTGGAGTTATGTACACATACTCAATGCACCTGGCAGCCTAGACCCTTTCCAAAATATACCATGGGCATGTACCCACACTAAAAATGCAACAAACAACTTGCTATCAATGGAAAGAACTGACTGCATCATCTGTTCTGAACAGTAGAATACACTTCTTATTTCCGTAGAGACCTCCAAACATGGACAGATTCTATGCCATCTTACCGTGGTTATATCTGGTCACATGGTTTTTGCAGCCTCAATTGGTTTGGATAATAAGGGTATCTCTGTCCAGGAATGAATAAAAGATCATTTTTCTCTAGTAATAAGGTCACTAAGATACATAAACAATTAATACTGAAAGAATCATTGTCCTTGTAATCAACCCCACCACAGAACTTGTGTTTAGTAACGAAAGGAAAGTAACACTGTTGCTGTAAAGGGTTTTAATACCATTGTCCCATTTCAAATATTATTGTGACTCTAAATTAACTTGAATGGACAGTAGAACGTTGGAGGAAACCTTTGTCTGGTGACTTAGAAACAAGTCAGATAATGAGAATAAAAATGTATTAAGATTTTAATTTTCTGAGTGGCAATCTTAACTTCACTAATTATAGAGATGTGGTCTCTCTATATACAGACCACACAGAATTTTCATTCTTCACATAGGGCCTAAAGTCCTAAAGTACATGAAAAAGACACAAGATATCAAAGAAAAACATAAGACATAAGAAGAAAATATGTTGAAAAAGTAGATGACAAAGCTGGGCGTTGGTGGCATATGCCTTTAATCCCAGCACTCGGGAGGCAGAGGCTGGTGGTTCTCTCTGAGTTCAAGGCCAGCCTGGTCTACAGAGCTAGTTCTAGGACATCCTCCAAAACAATACAGAGAAACCCTGTCTTAAAAAAACAAAACAAAAAGTAGATGACAAAAGAGAGCTGGATATATTCATTTATATTTGCTAACATGGAGTTTTAAAAACTAAAATAGAGACAATTAAGGTTATTCCATAACAGTAAGTATTGAATTTCAATAAAGCATATTTCTCAACTGGCTGTGATGCTAAGTAACCTTCTATAAGTGAGATATGATAGATCACTATGAACTTTTATTCAGGGTTATTTCAATTGTTCTTGATTGCTGAGTGGCCCTCACAATTCATCATCCTGTTGTGGAAGCAATGATAATTCTTTGACAATTGGCTTCCCTGGAAATTGATCCCACTTGAGAAAACAGCTTCAAATGTTTATCCTTTGTTCTTCAACTTCTCACACATATGGAGTGTGTTGTGGTCCTCATCCAACAAATTACACATTTTTCATCTTGACTTTCCCATTTAAAGATATTCTGATCTTCTTTGACTGAATGCATCAGGTACCCATTGAAGCTCACTTGGAACCCTCAAAGATGAGCAGCTATGGAGCTTCGCCTGAAAAGGTGGCAGTGGCACTAGGACTTATCCAACATATATGGCTGGCTATTTGGAACCCATTCTCTGTGGTGAGATACCTTGCTCATCCTTAATACAGGGGGAAGGGCTTGATCCTGCTTCAACTTAGTATGCCAGATCTTGTTGACTCCACAAGGAAGACCTTACCCCTTCTGAGGAATGGATAGGGTTAGGACTGCAGTGAGGTGAGGGGAGTGGAGGGAGGGGGAAATGAGGTTGATATATAAATAAAAAATACTATTTAAATGAAAAAGAAAATGACTGGCCACTTCTGTCCACACTCAGGGCAGAGGTCAGAGGTGAGCACCGGGTCACTATATTAGACATGATTTCCTCCTGCTCGCCCTCTCTTGGATCCCCTGGCTTGGGGACTGAAGCCAGGTCGACTCCCCCCAGAAGGACAGCCAAGCTACCAGGAGCCTGCAGAGAGAGCTGGGCCACTGCTGCCCACACTCAGGGCAGAGGTCAGAACCAGGTCGACTCCCCACAGAAGGTACCCAAGAGAAGGGGAATAAGGCAAGATCTCCTGAGCAGATTGGGAGCAGGGGAGGAAGAGAGGGGAGCTTGGAAAAAGAGAGGGGAGAAGAGGAGGAGAGAGGAGGTAATGGGGGAGCAAGAAGGTTAAGTTGGGGGAAGAATAGAGGACAACAGGATGAGAGATACCTTAATAGAGGGAGTCATTATAGGTTTGAGGAGAGATCTGACACCAATGAGATCTCTAGCAATCTACAAGGATGACATCAACTGGCAAGCTTAGCAATAATGGCAAGACTACCTTAAATGCCCATCCCTGATAATGAGTTTGATGACTATCTTATATGCAATCCTAAAAACTTCAGTGACTGATGGAAGCAGAAGCAAACACCCACAGCTAAACACTGAACTAAACCCTGGAACCCAGTGACAGACAGGGAGGAGTGATGAAAAAAGGAGTAAAGAATGGCTGGTGAAATCAACAGAAACAGCTGACATGAACAAGGGGGGAGCTCTTGGACCCTAGACTGACAGCTGAAAGGAAGCACAGGACTGATCCAGACCCTGTGAATGTGGGTGTCGGTGAAGAGGCTGGACAAACTGTGGGGCCCTGGGCAGGAGATCAATATTTATCCCTGGCATACAAATGGACTTTGTTTGTCCATACCACAAAGAGGGATGCTCTCTCAGTCTGGACTCTTGGGGAAGGGCCTAGGCCCTGCCCTGAATGAAATGACAGACTCTGTATATAAACTATAGGAAAGGAAGAGGGGATAGGGTGGGAGGCTGGGGGGGGCTGGTGTGGGGTGTATGAGAAGGAGAAGAAGAGGGAGTTGGGATTGACATGTGAAGCAAGCGTCATTCTAATTTTTAAAAATATAATAAATAATAATAATAAAGAACTCCAAGACAAAAAAAAAAGAATGGCTAAAATCCAAAAGACCAATGACAGTCTATGCTGGAGAGGATGTGGAGAGAGGGGAACACTACTCCACTACTGGTAGGAATACCAACACGTACACCCACTTTGGAAATCAGTGTGGATATTCCTTAGGAAAATGGGAATCAGTCTACCACAAGATCCAGGAATTCCACTCTTAGGCATATGCACAAAAGATGCACATTCATGCAACAAGGACATCTGTTCCAATATGTTCATAGCAGCATTATTTGTAATAGCCAGAACATGGAAGCAAACTAGATGCCCCTAAACTGAAGAGTGGGTAGAGAAAATGTGGTACATTTACCCAATAGAGTACTATTCAACAGAAAAAAAAACAATGGGATATTTAAATTTTCAGGCAAATGAAAGGCACTAGAATAAACTATCCTGAGTGAGGTAACCCAGTCAAAAAAAGACAGTTATGGTGTGTTCTCACTCATGTATGGATTTTAGGCATGAATCAGGGGCATACCAGCCTATAGTCCCACAGCCAGAGAGTCTGGGAAACAGGGAGGAACCTGAGAGATATGCATGGTACCCCAGAGAATGGAAATGGGACATAATCTCCGGAGCAGATTGGGAGCACATGGGGGGGGGAGGTAGCTAGAAGAAAGAGATGGGGTGAAGAGGATGGAGGGAGGAGGACATGGGGGAGCAGGAAAGTTGAGTCAGGGAAAGAATAGAGGAGAATAGGAAGAGATACCATAATAGAAGGAGCCATTATAGGTTTGAAGAGAGATCTGATACTAGTGAGATTTCTATAGACCTAAAAGGATGACTGCAACTGACAATCTAACCAATACTGGAGAGGCTACCATAAATGCCCTTCCCCAATAATGTGGTTGATGATTTCCTTGTATATATCCTACAGGCTTCATCCAGTGGTTGAAGGAAGCTAAGGCAGATACCACAGCGAAAACCTGAATTGAACTCCTGGAAACCATTTGCAGATAAGGGGGAGTGATGAGCAAAGGGGTCAAGACTGGGCAAGTGAAACCCACAGTAACAACTGACCAGAACAAGAGGGAGCTCATGGACCCCAGAGTGGTAGCTGAGAGGCCAGAATGGAAATAATTCAAACCCCCTGAACATGAGTGTCAGTGAGGAGACCTCAGCATTCTTTGGGGCCTCAGGCAATAGATCAGCATTTATCCCTGGCATCCAGATGGACTTTGGTAGCCTATTCTACATGTAGGGATGCTGTCTCAGCCTGGACACATGGGGGAGTACCTAGACCCTACTCCATATGATATAACAGACTTTGAAGATCACACATGAAGGACCTTTCCTTCCCTGAAATGTGAAGTGGGGATTGTGTAGGGAGCTGGGGAGGTTAAAGGGGGAGCGAGGGAGGAGGAGAACGAGGGGGAGCTAGGATTGACATGTGAAGCAGCTTGTTTCTAAAACAGGATTTTCACCATCCACTAGCCCATGTGGTAAACCGTATAAGACAAGGATTGAGCCTCTCCTAGGGTATATCACATGCAGGATGAAGCATCAGCATTGTGTCCTTGAAATTCTCAGACCTCTCCAAGGACCACATGATTACGCAGTTCATTCCCTCTGTTGTGATAAATCCATACTGAATGCTGGCAAAGGATCAGAGAAAGAAGGATTTATGTGCAGATATCAGGGTACTTTAAAGCAAAACTATTTCTTGATATACAAGCAGTCTGAGCACATAAACACAGAAGGAGAAGCAGCTGGGACAGCATAGCCTCCAACTTCTGCTTCCCTCAGTAGTTTATGTCATGGCTTGTATCACTGTGTGAGGAGCACTGTAATCCTGTAGACAATAATAATTTGCAACATCTTCAGCCTCCACGCTGCTGAGACTTAAAGTGAAACTTCTCCCAGAATATTGGCCACTGAACCTTGATGGGACACCAGATTGCAAACTGTTTCCATTATAGATCAAGAGTGTAGGAGATTGTCCTGATTTCTGCTGATACCAACTTAGCTCATTGTTAATGTTTTGGCTTGCCAGGCAATTGATGGTCACTTTGTCTCCTAGAGATGCTGACAGGAGGGATGGAGATTGTGTCATTTGAATGTCACATCTGGCACCTGACAGGAGAAAAACAAGCAAACAAAAAATCACACAATTAACAATGTTTAGAAGGAATTTCCTGATTAGTAAAGAAATGTAGGATATGCCGGGCTGAATAAATTTTCTTTCCTGTACAGCTTACCTGACAACCACAGTAGCAAAATTACCAGGGCATGAGCAGGAGCCTTCATGGCCATGCTGTGTTCTGACTGGAGCTGACTCCTGCAGGGACTGTGAGCAGACACCTTTGAATCTGTCAGCTAAGGGGGATTTGTTCTGGGCTCATGCAAATCAGCAAAGTTTCTCTGGTCTATAGATAGCTGCAGGGTGTGCTCAGCTCATTAATACAGGAAGTCTCAGTCTATACAAACTCTCTACCGATCCTGGGAGACACACATTTCCTACAGAGAAAGCATTCCCTGCTAGGGATGACAGGATATAATTATTCTAGTGTCCATTAAATATAATGGTTTGGTTTTATCTTGTTTAGTATAGTTTTTTCTTTAAAAATGGATAAAAATTACACTTTTCATTCTAACTTAGAATATAAGATGGACAAATGGAGATTTAATTCTTTGGAAATTTCAAGAAATAGAATTCGAGACAGAAGGTTTTCTTTTTTCTTCTTGGGGATTTTCTGTGATAAATCATGAGGATGAACAATGGACAGAGATATAACTTTGACAGAAATTTAGATGCATAGACAAGAACAAAGTGAAGTCCGTATGTATGCATACAGTTATACCTGCATTTTAAAATAAGGAAATGTAGAAATACGCTTTCATAACATAGTTTAATGATCTATAGGGAAGGGACAGGTTACTGAGTGTCATAACTAAATTGTCATCCTCAAGGACCTTTTTTCACTCAGTCAATTTAAGGAACTTACTTGTTCTCTGCCTTTTGAAAGTCTCTGGCATATCTCTTTCTCTAAGAACACTAAATATTTCCCAGATCAATGTATCTTACATTCATGATATTTCTTATTCAAGCTCTTCCCTATCAAAAGCAGAGGTTATGCAGACTGACTCCCATCCACAACCCGCAAATTCCACATGAAATATGGCTTCTAGGTTCACACCAGGAGTTAATTTTATGTCAACTTGACACAAGCTAGTTATCTGAAAGGATGAAACTTCAATTTGAAACATGTCTCCATAAGATAATGCTGTACACAATTCTATAATTTTCTTCTTACTAACTGATGCAGTGGGGTTCAGCTAATTGTAGGTTAGGCCACATCTGAACTTGTATTCCTGGGTTCTATAAGAAAGCAGGCTGAGTAAGCCATAAGGACTAAAGCCTTCAGATATCTTCTGTATTATCTCCGACCGTCACATTCCTGCCCTGTTGGATTGCTGTGCCTTCTTCCTTTGATGATGTATACTAATGTGGAAGCATATGCTAAATATACCCTTCCCTTCCCAACTTGGTTTTGGCCATGGTCTTTCATCTCAGCGATAGTAATCCTAACTAAGATACATATTGAGAGCAATTGGCTTTTTTTCTTTTTTCTTTAAATTAGAAACAAGCTTGTTTCACATGTCAATCCCAACTCCCTCTCCCTCCTCTCCCCCCTGTTCCCTCAGCCCCCCTCCCAACAACTCCATTCCCCAGGGAGGGTGAGGTTCTTTATGGGGGAACTCTAGAGTCTGTCATTTCGTTCAGGGCAGGGCCTAGGCCCTCCCCCAAGTGCCCAGGTTGCGAGAGCATCCCTCATTGTGGGATGGGCATGCAAAGACCATTTGTGTGCCAGGTATAAATACTGATCTACTACCTAAAGCCCCCCAGGTTGCCTAGGCCTCCTCATTGACACCCACTTTCAAGAGGTCTGTATCAGTCCCATTCTTACCTCTCAGCCATCAGTCTGGGGTCCAAAGTCTCCCCCATTGTTCATGTCAGCAGTTTCTCTGGGTTTCACCAGTCTAGTCTTGACTACTTGGCTCATCAATCCTCCCTCTCTGTCACTGGGTTCCAGGAGTTCAGTTCAGTGTTCAGCTGTGGGTGTCTGCCTCTGCTTCCATCTGTCACTTAATGGAGGTTCTAGGATGGCATATAAAGTTGTGTAAAATTCATTATCAGGGAGGGTTGTTTAAGGTAGTTTCTTCACTATTGCTTAGTTTGACAGTTGGTGTCATCCTTTTAGAGCTCTGGAATTTTCACTAGTGCCAGATCTCTCCTCAAACGTAAAATGACTCCCTCTATTATGTGCTGCCTAAAAATGAGCTCTGGTGTGTCACCAAAATGTAACATAATTAACTTCTCATATTTTTGTTCAATATCAATATATCTGTCCAATTTTCTTTTTATTTAACTTTTCATGGTTTTGCTACATTGGCTTAAACATTTTTTATTACTTTAATTTTAAGTAGTTTGCTTCACATGTCAATCCCAGTTCCCTCTCCCTCCCCTCCTCCCACACTCCCCCCCAACCATCTCCCCGAGCGTCCCACCCTATGCCCACTTCCTTCCACATAGGGGATATCCAGAGTCTGTCATTTCACTAAGGGCAGGGTCCAGGCACTCCCCTAAGAGTCCAGGCTGAGAGAGCATCCCTCTTTGTGTTATGGACACACGATGTCTGTTTGTATGTCAGGGATAAACACTGATCTACTGCCTTGGGCCCCATAGGTTGCCCAGGCCTCCTCACTGACTCTCACACTCAGGGGGTTGGATCAGTCCCATACTGGCCTCCCAGCTGTCGGTCTGGGGTCCAAGAGCTCCCCCTTGTTCAGATCTGCTTGTTTCGCCAGCCCATTCTTTGCCAATTTGCTCATTGCTCCTCTCTCTGTGTTACCGGGTTCCATAGGTTCAGTTCAGTGTTTAACTGTGGGTGTTTGCCTCTGCTTCATCAATGGATGAAGGTTCTAGAATGGCATACAGGGTAGATGTCAAGTTCATTATCAGGAATGGGCATTTAAGGTGGTCTCTCCACTATTGTTTAACTTGCCAGTTGGTGTCATCCCTTTAGATAACTAGAGGTCTCACTGGTGCCAGATCTCTCTTCTACCCTCTATTATGGTGTTTCTCATCCTGTTCTCCCCCTATTCTATGGAATGGTTTTCTATTTAATTGGCTTCGTGGGTTATTTATAATCAGTGAGTTTAGGATTCCCCATGTATCTGCAGGACAATACATCTACATCAACTCCAGTTTTTCCAACCTGGTTCATTGTGATCTGATAATGCTGTGGGCACCTGCAGTAAGAGAGTATAAACATCATGGGCATACAGGGCCTTCATGCTGCAGTCTCTGTTTTGTTCATCGGGAACAGAGTCTGTACATGAAGGTAACTTCTGTCATCAGAAAGAAAAACATGCCCTCATGTGGACCACCTGTGTTAATATCATCAGCAGTATCAGAAGTCTTGAAATCACATAGTAGTGACTCTTAAACTCCCTATTGTGAGGAATCCATCTGACACAGGATGGAGTGATGCTATTCAGTCTACTAGAAAGGCAGGAGTGGCCTGTATATTCCCAGAACTCTGTGAGCCATAACCACACTTTACAAAAGCAGATGCAGTTTGTGCTGAGGAATTATTGATAATCACACTTGTTTACTGTGCTGGGATTGTGGGCAGGAGGTGGCAATTGACTGTAAGCTGTGAGAAACAGTTAGATTCAAGGACAGAGTTTAAATATGCACAATAAAGAGAATTTACACAAAAATCACACCATGATTGAAAATATCCACAGCATCTAAATCTCACTTGGGGTACCAGCCTCCATCCAGCACCAGGACAAATAAGAAAATCGACGAGTATAAAATAAGCAAACATGAAAAAAGAAAATCCTTAAGGTTGGGGTGTACATGCAGACTAAAGTTGCTGCAAACTCTGACCTTGAATCAGCAATAAACAGCACCTGGCAAAACGACCATGTATATTTGTCTCTAGGGACGACTAGATATTGTCTCCAAAGAAAACCAGCCTACTTTTAATCTGAAGTCTAAAGCTGTTGTCTATGTGAAACACTGACAGAAAATCCTATGTCAGTCTGAGTGATGTAAAACATTCTAGTATTATTTCCACTCATCAAAACTGTACATCCTAAGGCAAAATCATCTGACTAACCATCCACCCCAACCTGTGTGCTCCAACAAGTGTAAAACACACCACCAAAGGGCTGTGGAAAAAACCTACAGCTTTTCTTATTAGGAAGATATAGTAGTGGCACTCAAGAAAGATACAGACAGAGAACAACCAGTCACACACTGTTAATAACACCCAGCTTTGCCAACTGGAGCTTCCCAACTTGCTAAACATTAGTATTCACTGCAGTATATAGCCCTCTGCAACCTTCTCTTCTGACTGTTTAAAGGAGAGACAGCCTTCTTTTGAATATAAATAAGTATAAGATGGAGCACTTTGATTTTTGTAAAAAGAAATACATTCACAACTTGCCTTATACTCAGACATTGTTATAAGGGAGTGGGAAACTTCTGGCAAGATTAAAGATCATAGGCATGAAATTTGTGTGGATTACATGAGGGTATTACTCCTTCATCATCTCCTTCATGTATCAATTGCTCTCTTGTTCAGCTTATCTAGACTGTAGTAATGATGAACAGTTTCCTCAGCAGTGATGGTCACCACACAGAACTCATGGGTCTGCATATCTGGCACCAGATTACAGATAAAAGCAGCAACCCTGTGTAAGTGGCCCAGGAACACAACTCTGATACCTGATACAGCGAGCTTGTCTGCCAGCTCCTTCATCACAGCCTTGACAAGGTTGAAGTATTGTCATCCTCATCAACACTCCACAGAAAGAAACTGCTGTATGTACTGGAAGACAATGGCTTACCATCACCTCTGCTGCTCTGTGATGCTTAGTAGTCCTTTCAGCCATTGGTCTGGGCCTGTGTCAGTGTTGGGAACTTAGAGGCATCTTAAAATAACTGGGAATTAAGCAACAGGAATAGGATGCCCCACCCCAACCAGAAACTGAAGTAGTCATCAACCCATGTCTGGAAGAATTCTTCCGTGGTCTCAGCAGTGGGGACATTGCCCAAGTCATGGTTCCCACAGACCGGCAATAGAGCAAAGTCTTAGCCAAAGGCCATTGGTACTTGCTGTAAGTCCTTGATCTGTTCTTTCTTCCCAGAAACTTCCTGGAATGGTGTGAATGAGGTCATCACAATGAACAAGGAATTTGGCTATTGGGTTCAGCTTCTGGATGGCTGAACCCAACAGCTTATTCAGTGAGACAGATCTCCCCCACACCCCTATCACACTCATTCTCCCATCCTGAGTGAAAGAGGCATTTTTCAGCCCAAATTGGTGGTCTGCACCATGG